TCTGGGTTCCGTGGGAGAAGCTTCAGAACTCCGGAAGACAAATTTTGAATCTTGATCCGTAGAAACAAAACGGTCATGGTTTATGTACCACCACGATTAAGGAGATGATGGTATTTGAAATTAAGCTTTTTATATATAAAAAGCTCTGTGTGATTGTGACAGTGTTACATAAAAAAATAAAATAAAGTTGGGAAAAAGATCAATAATGTAAGTGGGCTTACAAAGGAAGAGATTGAGAGGCCTTTTACTAAAATAGGCCCATTAAAGCTGTTAACAATCTGTAAACGTCCCACATCGCTTAGGTGAAGAAAAGAAGCTGCGTTTATATATCGTCAGAGTAGACTAAGTGATTGTCCCTTCGGGGACATCCGATAAAATTGGAACGATACAGAGAAGATTAGCATGGCCCCTGCGCAAGGATGACACGCATAAATCGAGAAATGGTCCAAATTTTTTTTACAAAATTTTCCACATTGTTTTCTTCTAGGTTCGATTTCTGGGTTTTTTTCCCGTTTCGTGAATCATAAGTGAAGTAAGATTCCAGGTTTCTCGAATCCTAAAATTCGACCTGCAATGAACATAGTTAGATTGCTAAGACAATCTGATTGGTTCGTTGTTTCAGTTCTGATGGTCGGGGAGAGTTTGTTTCCAGACGGTGACACCAATGCTTTTGACCTTTTGTTAACCATATTACGGGTACACGAAATGTATAAAGAGAGAAGGTTATCGGTTTTGGTTGAACCAACGGAGCCATTTCTTTGCCATTACTCATTAGCGTCTAAATGTCTAATTGGTCATAGGGGTTTTCTGGATATTGAATCAGACTTTTAAATTTAAATTGCTGTATCATCATTTTCTTATGGAGGATGAAATTAGATTTGACCAAAGATTGGAACATAACATAGCTTTCACAAAATATAATAAACATTTAGGACCAGTCTCACTAATCAAATAAAGAAGAAAAAACGTTTTAAAACAATCGAATACATATGAGTGGAAGCTTCAGAGTTGCAAGCAAAAGCATGGTCATCATGGCCCTTGAGCTTTCTCTTACTTCTTATCTTCATCTCTGGCAACAATCTTGTACTTTCCACTTTCCTGTTGCTGACAAACAAAATTAATCATCAAATATGAGTCCTACACAACTAAACAGATCAGATGAAAATCTTATACAAATCTTACCCTTTCCCATAGTTTGGTATGCTCATTGCAGAAACCAACAACAATACCACCACTCTTCTTGTCTTCACGATACTCAATGCAAAGATCTTCCTTCAACCCACAAGTAACATGAAAAGCCAACTTACATCTCATCTCCGAACACTCGATAACACAACCGCGTCTAACCTTACACAAATAACACCTATCTTTCCATCTCTTACTCGGTATCTCCCTACAACAAATCCCTTCTCTTCCTTCAGGATCCTCAAAGTAAACTTCAGGCACAAACAACGCGCAAGTAATATGAGCCCATCGACCATCATTAGTAGGTTTCATCGCTCCGCCTTTAGTTGTACACAAACAGCAAGAGAAAAGCTTTTCTCGATTCTTCGATGATATACACTGTCTACAAAACCAATCACCTTCTGGTATAGCCTTAACCAGAGGATTCCCATAGCAAGAAGCATGAACCATCAAATCACAACCATCACAGAACACTATTGGATTCGATGGATCACCATCTGTGCTTTGACATACAACACACATAATCCCATCTTCATCTTCTACTTCTCTATCTGAGAGATCTAAAACTTTTTCTTTCCCTAGAGGATCTACATTCTCTTTATCATCATCATCATCTTCTACCTCTAGACTAGATTCAACCATTAGAGTTGACTTTTTCTCAATTGACTTCTCCTCAACGGAAGGAGGCTTATACTCAACATTCAGATCAAAAGGCGAAAAAGGATTACCGGAGAGCAAATCAGGATCAATCGCCCAAATCCTTTTCTTCGCCGGAAGACAATGATAGGTGGGATTGGAGTTCTCGGCATCGTCGTCGTAATCAACACGAGTCTGCTTCCTCTTCTTCGCAGGCAACTGCAACGACTTCGCCTCCGGTTGGTTCAGTAGCTGTTGTTGTTGCGCAGCTTCGAGATCTCGCTGCATCAGTCTTAATCTTTTGAGAGGAGGTAGATCTTGATATTGAGCATCCATGGCTTTTAGTTTCAGATCTCTGGGATTGTGTGAATGGAACAGCGTAGATCTCTGGGAAATTAAAAGGGAAACGAAATTGATATTTACCCGCCAATTGTTATATGTGCGCCAAATTTCTGAAATTTTGTTCTCATTTTTAAAATTTCGTTAATTTTCTTCTTCTTTTTTTTTTTTGTGGTTCATCAACCGAATTTAAAATTTTAGAATTTCACCCGCCAATTGTTAAAAGGTGCGAGGGAGTTTGATCTTATATGGGCCTCGATTCGGGCCATTGTTAATGGGCTTATTTTATTAAAAAAAACTGTGGCCTCTATTTTTCTTAATTAACAACACTTTAATATATTGGCTTTGTTCACAATCTATCAGACTATTAGAGCAAAGTTACAAAAGGGAGGCTGCTTTAATGTCATGAGTTTCCTGGAAAAATGGACGATTTTGACTTTTTCATCGATGACCTTGTGGTGGCTGCTGCTGCTGCTGCTGCTGTTGTTGCGGATCATAGCCACCAGCCCACGCAGCCTGCTGTCCGTATGGAGGAGGATAATAGCCAATAACGCCTGCTTGTGCCTGAACCAGCATTGTCATCATATGTGCACATTAGTTTCTTCTATGTGTATAAATGTATGCACCTAAAAACTACAAGAATAGGAGATATATGAAGATAGTTGTTGTCCAGTTAGATATTCTGTCACAGGTTTCATTACATGTTGACTCGAGATTGGTCTAATAAATCGATTAAGCCAGTTCTGTTTTACACCAGATTGACTTGTTCGAACCTTAGGCTGTACTATTGGCTACTGAAATTCGGTTCAAATCCAAGATTCAAAGTTCAAAAGTGTGAAACTTTCTAGACAGAACTATGGTGAGTGCAGACATATCATCTACATCTACTATAGCACACGCAATGCTCTTCTTGGTAAAAACTAAAAAAGAGATTCCCATGGGAAAGAGAGAAAATTCAAAAATTTATCACTTACTGGATTCATGACATAGTTGGGTTGATAAGGATTCACATGATACCCAGCCTCAGGATTTCCATAGCCACCACCATAAGCAACTCCACCTGATCAAAAACATGTTTTTTGCTTAACATTGGTAATATGCATTCAACTATTGATCGACTCTATATTGCTACTAATGCATTTAATAGGCATTGTGATGACTGCTTATAAAGGTTTACACTTATTCAAGATTATCATACCAGGATTCCCAACAGGAGCAGCTGCATGAGCCCTCGTTTCTGAGTTAGCAATCTCTGCTCGAAGCTTCTCCAGTTCCCGAGCCATTGCAACTAATTTATGCTCCATAATTTTGCCATGCTCGTAGTTTTCAGCGTACCCTTTCTTCTCATAATCAATAGCCGCTCTACAAAACAGAAATAACAGCTTAAAATACACATTATCATCAAGATGAACAAAGCCAAATTTAAAAAAGAGACTGGTCAAACCTTGCGCGTTGCAGCTCTTGCTTTGTGTTTTCAATTTCTGCAGATAGTGTTGGTATCTGCTGCAAATCTGCTGTAAGTCTAGCCAAATCTTGAGTCATCAAGTGAACCTGACTCGTTAGTTCTTGCCTACCTGAAGTAAACTCTTTGATATCCGCACGGACCTTCTGAATCTCAGCTCGCATAGCATCGACTTCACGTAATTCCATTTCGGATCGCATAGATTTATCATACATCTCCCTCATCATAATCTCTTCCTCAGCTCTCAAGGAATCAATGTAATGCATCATTCTTTGCAATTCATGCTGAGCAACTTCTAGCTCCTGTTTTAGCGCAACATGAGTCGCAGCTAGCCTCTGGTTATCAGCAAGTAAACCCTGCACATCTTGATTCTGAGCAGCGAGACGATCCTCCAAAATCGAAAACTGTGGAGGAAGACCTCTTGCATCCACTCTAAATTGAGGTTCTCTACTATCATCAATCATAGAAGGACGAGGAGGAGGCACAGGTCCTCCTCCTAACCCTCTAACAAAAGGCGGTTGATGAACCGGAGCTTGTAAGCCATTGTAAGATCCACCTTTCATTGAAGGAGGAGGAGGTCCACGATTTCTTCCAGACATTATCTTAATGTTTAACACTCTGATCTTAGAATCGTTGAAAACTGCTAACAGAAACCAAATTCTCAAGGATCAAAATCTACAAAGTTTCAAGAGGTCTTATGCTCAATACTAAGCAGAAGCGCAATTCTAGTTTCAATTTCTGGTAAATTCGAGCACAAACTCAGAATCACGAACTAACCTTCGACGACGAACAACAGAAGGTTTCGCAACCGGAGAAAACACAAATCAGGGTTCCTGATTTAACGCCTAGGTCACCAAATCGGAGATCGACCAGCTTAAAACTCTTCGAAGAATGTTCGCACAACTGTAGAAACTCCGATTAGCTCAAGGGAGACCAAAAACCTTCAAATTCTCTCTACTTCGCCGGAAAATAAATAAAGCGGAGGTTTGTTTACTAATAGTAATATTTTGAATTACACCTTTTATTGTTTTTTATTTACAGTATCTCTCCGTGATACTACCTTATTTTCAATTTTTACCCACTTGTTTCAGAGTTTTCAAAATGTACCCACTTGTTTTGGATTTTTCAATTTACTCCTTCATCTTTTATTTGTGGTACCACTGGTCCACTAGGTCCACCCAACAAGAACATGAATAGACGTTGTGTGGCTCGTGATGTCATCAAAACCTTGTGTCCCCACAAGCTTATATATATTTGATAATACAAACTAATACAAATCATGCAAGTAACCTCAAATCTTAAATATAATTTAATCAATATTTGACTACTTACCTGATTTCAATTTGATCATTCATTTTTTTGCTAATTTTGAACCAAAATTTTGACTACCTTCCTGATTAACTCTTTACTTAAAACATCACGAAAGGTAACACAACTTTCCAAAAGCTTACAATTATACAAAACGTTACAATCATACGACCAAAAACAAATGTTAGATTTAATTTTTTTGTATGCACAATAAATTTATATAGTTTCCGTTACAAAGACTACAACGGATATATTTAATACCACAATTATATCTATACCCAACACAATGAACCAACAAGTTGAGATGAAAGATTTTATTGATGGGTAGATAAAAACTATAGGTTATATTTATCATAATGATGAATAAATCTATAACGGTGGAATTCACATGAAGCTCACCAATTTCACCTATATACTTTGCTCTCACGACAGACTCCTAAAAAAGACCCCAAATTTAGCAAACAATGGAAGCCTTGTGGAAGTTGGAGGAGAAACTGAAGCTAACTACGAAAGAAGCTGTTGTGATCTTGGTCGGAACAGCGGCTGCGGTAACGTTACTTTGCATAGCTGCAGCGTTTCTCAGCCGCAATTCTCGTGGGAAGCAAGTAGCAGACGCAGAGTGGGCGTCCGAAACAGCGTTTGCGTCAAGGACTATGGAGGAAAAGAGGAAATGTAAGTGGAGCAAAGTGAAGAAAACGTTGATGGGTTCGTTTTGTTGGAGCTCTGCAGCTAAGTGGATGGAGATGGAAACAAGGCGGCCGCCACCATTGCTTGCGGCTAAAGAAAGGAGTCTTAACGCCGTTGATCCTGTTTGGCAGCGACCGATTCTGATGGGTGAGAAATGTGAATTGCCGCGGTTTAGCGGCCTTATATTGTATGATGAACGCGGCCATCCGCGTCATCATCCTCAACTTCAAGAACAAGTGAGTGTTAAATTACTCATTATCTATATTTGACAACAAAAATGTTGTTTGGTTTTTTTTGTCAGATATGAATATATGTTCTTGTCATTGCTGTTTTGTAGGTAAAACAAATTTCTGTGGTAAGAACAACGCTGAGAGATTTGCTTTGATAGTGGTTTTCTCTACAAGGAAGTCTCTTGAAGTTTCGTGTACTACAAGTTAAAAACCACAATGAATTAAAGGTCAGATTCTGAAAATGCAAAAAAACATCTGTATGTATCAATGTCTTATGTGATGTAGATGCAAATCTTCTTTCCTTTGTTTTTTGTGTTTTTGATTGCTTAGAGGTAAAGGAAAAGCAAAATCTTACGAACAAACATTTGCTCAAAATAGATGGTTTGTGTGTGTGTGTTTTTGATTGCTTGGAGGGACAGAGAAAGTGGAAATCTTATGAACAAACAATAGAATAGTCTTTAACAAACAAACAATGTATTGGTAATATTCTTCAAATCAACCCACCAGAGATTTCCATCTCAAAGAAACAAAATCTTATGAACAAAAAAATAGGATAATCTTCAAAAAAATAAACAATATATGGACAAATGTTATCGACGCACCATGAGATTTCCACCACACAAAAACACAACCCACACCAGTGAATCTGTCATGTGTCTTCAGATAATCTTCAGCAATTGAGCCATCAAAACGGAAAAAGACCTCCATCCTTCGATCATGGCAGAAGCCGAGAGAATAAACATCTTCACGCCATGAGAGAAGGAAACCGGTAGATAGTCACAAGGAGCTACACAGAGTAGACAACAACAACAACAACAACAAAGAATCTTGATGTAACCATATTTTCTGGTTTTTTCCCCAACTGTAGATTTGCTTCTTTGTGCGACCCTCACACATAAGAAACAATCAAAGGTTCTTTTGTTTCTTCTGCTATAGAATTCCTGTGGTAGTAACAGTACAAAGCCAGCTGCACAATACCAAGAATCGTTCCTATTCCATTTGGTGTCTGAGTGGAAAAAAGACAACAAGTTTTGTTAATACTCTAATGAAAAAAAGCATAGATTGCAGTAGCAATTATTGTAGAGTAACTTACATAAACAAAGGCGTCGCTATTGAATAACCCGTAAAGAAGGAAGGAAGCGCTCATCAAGAAAGTCGATAGCGAGAGATAAAACGGCATAAACTCAACGCTCTTAGTCCGAATCACTAGGTTCTGCGAAGAGCAGACAAGTCAGGCAATCAAGAAAGTTGCATAGTCTTGAAAAGATTTGGTGACATTTTTGGGAACTTACGATAACAAACAAAGGCGAGGCAAACATTGAGACAAGAGTACCGCAGCTCAAGAACCCGACAAAGTACCATCGTGTGAGCTGGTCAGGTATCTGCAGACTTCCAGCTACAATCACTCCAACCACAGCAAACACCACAAAAAGCAAACCAAGCATCTTCATCTGCCATGATCAAAATGTTGATTAGAGTTACTAAAGAAACACAAATTTTCCGTGTGACTAAGAAGTAGAATCAATAAACAAAACCTTGTTCTTCTTGTCTGTATGCAAGATGAATAGGATAATGTAGCAAAGCTGAAAAGTGGCTCCAACAGAATTCACAGTCATAAGCATGGTATTGCTGTGTGATACGAAAGGTGTTCCATACCAAAGGCAGATCAAGCAGTTTAAGAGAGCGTAAATGTATGGTAAACCGGAGAATTGCTCCGTGGATTTGTTCCTCATGATCCTTCTAAACGTTGGCCTGAAAAAAAAACAATCAGTCAAGTCCATAGAACTCTGTTTAATACAAGGAAGGAGCAAGTTTAGTAAGTGAAAAAAGAACTCACATTGGTGAAACGAAGAGCCCAAATGCAAATATGTTGCCTGAACATAGAAGAACGATGAAACAGTGATATTAACAAAAGGAAAAAGTTTCTATCTTTTGTTTGTGAATTGCATAAATTTGGACTCTACAGAAGCAGATTTCTTGAATTTTCCGACAAAAATGATCAGAAACAACATTTGAATCTTATTAACGTTGTTTCGGTGCCCAGAAGACGAAAAGTGCAGACATATATACTGATTTGGGTATATATATTAATGGAACCTAAGCCAGATCTGGTTATATAGTTTATGGAATTATGAAAGGAATTTGAATATTGGGTTTTCCAAAATTAGCTAAAACTTTACCAAAACAATAAAGCAGTGAATAGAATAAAGTTATTTACCTGCGATTCCGGCAACATCTTTACACATGGATAAAGAAGCATTGAAAGCAAAAACATCCATGAGGAAGCTTCTCTGTCTTAAACTCTCTGTTTTTTTTTCTTGCTCTGTTCTGTTCTTATGGAGACAGATTAAGACGCAAAAGAGAGACGAGATTTCTTCTTATAGAAATAAAAAAATAAAAAAAACTGAAACCCAGAAACTTCAAAGAAGACTTTCTTAAAAAGGTAAGGAGCATTGCGAAAGGCTAAATGTGTACGACTATATATATGCGGTCCAGATTTGGCTGTCTCTAGTCTCTACTGTTCAACTATCTTACAAACAAATTAAGTACAAAAAAAGTGTCGCAAACTTGTATATATGTGTTAATAAATTCCATTAAAATAATATACATCATGAAAAAAATTAAGCTAAAAGTAAAACATGCATAAATCATCTGAAAATTATCTTATAAAAGTCAAAATTTGATCCCATTAATTAAAAGATTGAAGAGGCTCGAAAGGTCTTGAAAATCATGCCTAAAAGAGACACTTAAATTAAATGACTTCTCTGTTTTCGCCTGAGCTGTAACGTTGATCCCAACTTTATTTTTTTTGTTTTTCGACATTGATCCCAACTTGATTATCTGAAATAGTTGCTGACCAATCAATTTTTCTCGTTTTTGGGTTGAGTTTTGAGCTCTTTTTTTTTTGTGTGGTCTACATTTGACATTCTCTTACTCTAGAATTTTAAGATGATACAAGAATATAATAATAATTTAACATTTGGTGGTCGTGTGCTCTAGTCTAATTGAACAAGCTTTCGTGATTTAACTCATGTGTCTCGCGCTGAGTCACTCGTCATAATCTTAAAACCCTGCGGATGAAAAATCCCAATGGCCTCACACGTAAATTACACTTTCTTTTCTACAACAATTATTCGTTTTTTTTTAAGGGCATTGTTAGTAAAACCCTTCGAGCGAACAAAGCCCATTTGTTTTCCAGAAAACCATCATAATCTTACTATATATTCTTCCAGGATCTCATTTGCCTCTCATTTTGGTCAACACGTTTCACTATCCTAATCCTATTCCTAGCGAGACGCTACTCATACGCTCAGTATTACAATTAAAGCACAATATTATATACAGTTAAAGAACAATACATTTACGTTATGAGTGAAGTTATTATCCACGTTATGTGAAATTATATATAACTTTACGTTAGCGAGTGAATACAAATATGTGATCGAGATCAGATAATATAAAATAAAATAAAACAGTAACTTGTGAAGAAATTAACGTTTTTCCGAAAAATCATTAGATTTTGTCTTAATCAATATATTGATATCACCGATTAAATAGTTGATTAAGCCATGTCGCTGTTTCGCTGAACTACGTTTAAAAGCGAAGCCACGCGATCTGTATAACAAAGCGTGTGGACAATCAATCTTTAAATCTAGCTAACGAATTTCACGAATTTATATATATATATATATATATATATATATATGTATTCCAGGGGTTTGACTTTTACTTTGTGACACATTTATTCTTCATTAAGCGGATTGGTTAAACAGTTTTAAACATGAGTTACGTTTATGTGATAGTAATTATTTATTGTAAAGAAAGGTTTAAAAATAAATCGAGCCCTTAGTCACTGTCACTAACCATTCAAAACATTTATTTTTAATTTTAGTTACGTGAGTTATCTAATTATAACATTATAGTAATCAGCCTACCAAAAAAAAAAAACATTATAGTAATCAAGTGACTAAGCACTTAAGCTTATCCAATTTTCAGAAAATTATACGATTCGATTTCTGGTGTATACAAAATGTATACGGCATTAATAGATTTTTTATAATGTAACGTAGAAATATATTTTCTTTTTGTTAAATTACGTAGAAATATCAACTAGATTAACCAGAAAAACACGTGAATTAAGCAAAAGAAAAGTCATTATGTGACTTTTGCGATTGATTATAATTTTTTGGTGGCGCTCTGAACTCATAATTATTATTTATATAAATAACAAAACTAGACACATTTTATTACTTAGGTTATATATTTCTCCGTATAGTTAAATTATATAATGACTAAAAGCATATTCAAAACCAAGCCCTTCAGACTTATGACCAGGCTTTATCGAATTAAAAGTTAACAAGTCATGATGAATTATTGTGTTAGAAAAGGTTTGAGATACATAAATGATAAATGATAAATCAATAGATCACATCACGTAAACATCAACAAATTATTTATTGATTTTTAAACGTGCAAATACTTCTGTCGCAATTTTCCTTCAATCGTGATCGAAAAAAACACGCATGTGTTAAAAAGAAATGTGGATGAGAATTGATAAGTTGCTAAATTCATGAACAAGCAAGTGGTAATATGCCATGTGCACCGCAAAAAATAATCATCAACTACAATGGGTCAAATTTCTTCTATTTTCAAGTACTCTCTCCGTTTCAGTTTAGTTGTCGTTTTAGGATTTCAATTTTGTTTTATATTAGTTGTCGTTTTAGGTTTTCAATGCAATGTTTGGTAAAAATTCCAGTTTTATCCCTACTGTTTTAATGTTTTGACCAATGAAATTTTTTATAAAATATATTAATAAAGGGTAAAACAGAAAATTTAATGATTTTCTTAATTTGTGTGAAAAAACCTTAAACGACAACTAAAACGAAACGGAGGAAATAGTATTTAGATCTCTTTTTTCTGCCATGTAATTCGTAAACAAAAATGAAATTCGTAAATTAATTAAATATCCGAAAATCTAACTTTTAAATAAAACTGAAATGTAAATTATTGATTCTCTTACAAACCATATATAGGAATAAAACAACTAGATAGAAAATCAAACTTTATAGGCTTAGTTTGTCATTATTGTTGTTTTCGGTTTGGTTTGCTCTCATAGATGGAGGCACTTGGTCTGGAAACATGTTTTGCATCATGTTAGTCCAGAAATCGACATCCTTGAGTTTCAGGTCCATTTCTTCAATCTTCATCTCCACCTTGTTCAACTTTTCTTGTGTCTCGAGATACTTATCTTCGTAAAACAAAGATGGAACCGCGGAAGTACTCGGTCTGACATTGTCCTCCATTGACCCACATGCAAAACATTTGTCTTTCTTTATTTGAACTTCCTGAAAACCCAAAAATTATTTTTTAAAAATAGTTAGATGATATATTTATAACATTATTGTTAAATAAATTTTAAATGTGTCACCTCTTTGTATATGTCATCCTTTTCAGTTCGGGTGAGATGGTCTGACTGGACAGAATCATCTCCTTGAAACATTTGAGTTAGTCTCTCGTCCTCCAGGGATTTGCAGTTTTCAACTATCAACTCGGCTTTTTTGTCGACAAAGGTCTCGTCCGAATTTATCTTGTTGGTCTCCTCTATTGAGGTGTCCATATTAAGGAGTTCAGCAATCTCCTCGTCCCGGTTTAATTGTATACTTTCTGGGGGTGAGGCATAACCGATACTTGTGTCGTTTTTCTCTAAAATTTCATACAAAACAGAAGCAATTCTGCGTGCGTTTATCAACTTCTCTCGCTGACTATGTTAAGATAAATTTTCATAGGTTAATGTTGCCTCGCTGAAATTGAACTAGAACTAGCAATATATAGCCAGTAGATTAAAAAAATAAAAGAATTGAAGGATGTACCTATTATCCAAATTGAATGATGCACCATGTCTGATAATGTATTCCTTGTAAGCATGATAAACACGTTTGAGTTCCTTAGTATCATTCATCTCTTTTCTTCTTCTCGAAGTAAACTCGTCATCCTACAAGGAAACAAGTTAAAGAAAGAATTGTACCAAAAAAACAAAAAAAAAGTTAAAGAAAGAAGACAAACAACAAAATAAATAGATATATATGATTAGAAAATTCATGAATTGTCCGGAATCTGGTCCACATCATTCATATGATCGGTCATATACGCATATCTTAACAAAAATCAAGAAACTAGCTAGCTAGAGGTAATCAGTGTCCCGTTTTCTACTCTTGGGTAGTGACTTGCCTTCTCAAGCCCTCGAAGCAGAGAATCTTTGAACCGCCGTACACCTCTTCCGTTGGAAGTACGGTCAATGCGGTGAGCTTCTAAGAGAATTTGACAAAGATTAACATATAAATTATGATTCTTTACCAAGAAAGTAAACTTCAGGGAAGACGAGAGTGAACTCACACAGATAAGCAACACGAGGTTCTTCAGACTCAACCAAGTTTGCTACACGAAGAAACCTCTGAATCTCTGAGGCTAATGTCTCCGGAAGCTTCTCGCTGTCGTAGGGTTCCCACACATATTGTTCCTGAAAAGCGAGTGGTCTCGTGAACTGGCTGGTTGGCGAATCTTCGGGTAAGATGGGATCCATATCAAGAAAAACACGTCGGTGGGATCCACGGGAACAATTTCTTGAGACATTTGGGAGATGAAAGCTGATTGATTAATCTTCTACTGTTTTGGTTGGCATGGAGATAGGTGGAGATGGAAGGAATTATATAAAGCGGCACTTGCTTAGCGAGGTGAGTTTCTATGCATGATGGATTTTTTTCAATTAACTACGTAATCTTTTTCCCCCAAAATAAACAAAATAAAGGTGGTGTTGGAGGGAGAAAAATGCTTTTTTTACTAAATCCGTACTAGAGAAAGAAGTTTCTAATCCTAGCAAAAGTTTACACTTTACACCATAATCCAACGTGCTTGGGAGAAGAAAAACCATTAAAAAAGGTTGAAATGGACCATAAAGCAGCCAAATCTTATTGACATATATGAACTGGAATATAATTAAAGCAGATACTTGATGTGCATATGTATTTATTTCTTAGTCACCAAGTATATACTAAAAGATAGACAACAAAAATAACTTGGTGTCTCCAATTCAAACCAAATTGTAAAATGTATATCTTTTTTCTCGTCATTTAAAATAATCATCTTGTTTATTTACAGTAACGGATGTATTATGCATAGACCATTAGTGAAGCTTGATTAATTAATGGTAGTTTTGTTCTAACTAAATGTCTTGTTTTGTTGAATGTGATGATTGAACTTAAGGGGAACTTGATATGTAAAATGGTTAGACTAGACTTTCAAGCCCTATAGTCCACACTATATGAGTCCTGGTCCTGGCCTGGATGTGTTGATTCAGAAAACCCCATGTGCCATGGCTCATGGGCTTAATAATATGTTATGCAGTTTTATAAGCAAATAAGCAAGTCATAATTTAAAAGGGAAAAAAAAAAAAAAGGACAAACAAGAATTAATTTTTTTGTTCAACATCTACTACAGTATAACGTTGTTGATATATAACATCTACTACAAGAAAATTGTTTTTTGTTGTATTACAAAAAATTATTATTATTATGTATGTCCGTTCAAAGTTCAAACTACACAAGTTTAATTTTTTTTCCCCTTATATTAAATTAAAAAAATACCAATGAATGAAACCGAAACTCATGCGGACATATTGAAGAAAATTTACTTTGCCTATATTTTCGGCCCTAATAATAATAATCTATAAATGATAAACAATTAATTTCAGGTGAAAAAGAAACCATTTAATTTGTAAATGGCAATGTGGTAATATAGGGAGCCTCCTGGTTCTCCGTAACTGTCTCAAAAATCAATTTCAGAGGCTCGTTTTCATCCACTCTCTTTCTTCTTCACTGTTTTATTTATTTCCATTGATCTCTCCCCTCTCCTCGAATTTTCCCTCCTTTTAAACCATCTCTGCATATATTCTTCAAGCTTAAGGTTTGATCTTCATCTGAAATCGATCCGGTACGTGAATCTCTTTCATTGAATCTTCGAAGCAATTAAAGCGATGTTCTGAGATTTTGTTTTTCGGTTTATGATTTTTGAAGCTTTCTCATCGTTTTTCATTGAATCTGCTGCTCACAATCTGGGGAATTTTTTGATTGCTTACATTTGTCATACTTGTGGATCCAGATCTGCCTCTTTTTTTCTTCTGATCATTTCGAATTTCGGCTAATTCCTTGTATCTATTAGAATCTCATGAGTTTGATTAGTGTAGATCTGCTTAGTGTCGTCTATCTGTTTGATTAAATTACATTTTGGAATTTGATCTGTTATATGAAATGTTGCAGATGGCTACATATAAGCCCAAGAACATCCTCATCACTGGTGCTGCTGGATTCATAGCCTCACATGTTGCCAACAGACTAGTTCGTAGCTACCCTGAGTACAAAATCGTTGTGCTTGACAAGCTTGATTACTGTTCTAACCTGAAAAACCTTAATCCTTCTAAATCCTCTCCTAACTTCAAGTTTGTGAAAGGAGATATCGCCAGTGCTGACCTCGTCAACTACCTTCTCATCACTGAAGAAATCGATACCATTATGCACTTTGCTGCTCAAACCCATGTTGACAATTCTTTCGGTAATAGCTTTGAGTTTACTAAGAATAATATTTATGGTACTCATGTCCTTCTGGAAGCTTGTAAAGTCACTGGCCAGATCAGGAGGTTCATCCATGTGAGTACTGATGAGGTCTATGGAGAGACTGATGAGGATGCTTCTGTGGGAAATCACGAGGCTTCTCAGTTGCTTCCGACTAATCCATACTCTGCCACTAAAGCTGGAGCTGAGATGCTTGTTATGGCATATGGTAGATCATATGGGCTGCCGGTTATAACAACTCGCGGGAACAATGTTTATGGTCCTAACCAGTTTCCTGAAAAGCTGATTCCTAAGTTCATCCTCTTGGCCATGAATGGGAAGCCTCTCCCAATCCACGGAGATGGATCTAATGTGAGAAGCTACCTCTACTGCGAAGATGTTGCCGAGGCATTTGAGGTTGTTCTTCACAAAGGGGAAGTTAATCACGTCTACAATATAGGGACAACGAGAGAAAGGAGAGTGATCGACGTGGCTAATGACATCAGCAAACTCTTTGGGATAGACCCTGACTCCACCATTCAGTTTGTGGAGAACCGCCCATTTAATGACCAGAGGTACTTTCTCGATGACCAGAAGCTGAAGAAATTGGGATGGTGTGAGCGAACCAATTGGGAAGAAGGAGTGAGGAAGACAATGGAATGGTACACTGAGAACCCTGAGTGGTGGGGAGATGTTTCTGGAGCTCTGCTTCCTCATCCACGGATGCTGATGATTCCCGGTGACCGACACTCTGACGGCTCTGACGAGCACAAGGACTCGGATGGTAATCAGACATTCACGGTGGTTACTCCCACCAAGGCTGGTGCTTCTGGAGACAAAAGATCCTTAAAGTTCCTCATCTATGGGAAGACTGGGTGGCTCGGTGGTCTTCTGGGAAAACTATGTGAGAAGCAAGGGATTTCATACGAGTATGGAAAAGGGAGACTAGAAGACAGAGCTTCTCTCATGGCGGATATTCGCAGCATCAAACCAAGTCATGTCTTTAACGCCGCTGGTTTAACTGGGAGACCCAATGTTGACTGGTGTGAATCTCACAAATGCGAGACCATCCGAGTCAACGTTGCTGGAACTTTGACTCTGGCAGATGTTTGCAGAGAGAATGATCTGTTGATGATGAACTTTGCCACTGGTTGTATATTCGAGTATGACGCTGCACATCCAGAAGGTTCAGGGATTGGATTTAAGGAAGAAGACAAACCGAATTTCACTGGTTCTTTCTACTCAAAAACAAAGGCAATGGTAAGTTAATATCACATGACCAAATCACATCTGATCCTCATCTCTCAAAACTCTGTCCATAAAAATCCTCATGTTTCTGTTTTTGCCAGGTCGAAGAGCTTCTAAGAGAATTTGACAACGTATGCACTTTGAGAGTGCGGATGCCAATCTCATCCGACTTAAATAACCCGCGAAACTTTATCACGAAGATCTCACGTTACAACAAAGTGGTGAACATCCCAAACAGCATGACCATACTAGACGAACTCTTACCAATCTCAATCGAGATGGCGAAGAGGAACTTAAGGGGAATATGGAACTTCACCAATCCAGGAGTGGTGAGCCACAATGAGATACTAGAGATGTACAAGAGTTACATCGAGCCGGATTTCAAATGGTCCAACTTCAATTTGGAAGAGCAGGCTAAGGTTATCGTCGCACCACGGAGCAACAATGAGATGGATGGTTCTAAGCTCAGCAAGGAGTTTCCAGAGATGCTTTCCATCAAAGATTCGTTGATCAAATACGTCTTCGAACCTAACAAGAGAACGTAAAACACAGACACACACATACTTCCCCTCTCTCTGTTCACTATAATGTTTCTACAATAACTTGATTTTGATTTTTATCATATGATTCATTTACTCTTTTTTGCATTCTACGCCTTACATGTAGCTCTCTTCACTCATTCTACTTCACTACACATCTTTGTTTACATTAATATTATAATACACAGATCGATTTATTGGAGTTGGGTTTTTTCCTTTCATTATTGATTCCTACTCCTATTATAATTCCTGTTTTGCTTTCATGTCAAGCAAGATATAGAAAAGAGTTGAAGACACAGAATAAGAAGAAGAAACGAAATTGACTGATTTCAACTTATTTCCCTTTGCTTTAAAACTTTGAGGATTGTATTTGTTACAAGAACAATATCTCTCATATGCTAATCTTCCTAGTGCATAAATAGAAATTGCAAAAACTCAAATGCGAAATAAATTAACCTCTGTACCATCTTTTGCAACACGACCATCTAAAAGCATTTGGCTTTCTCTTCAGTCTTCACCACCTTAGAGAACTACGAGTGACATTCCATCATCTGTTCATCCTACCACAATTCAAAAGCAACAAAGTTAATTCACTTAGAATAATGAAGAAAACGGTGGAAGAGATGAACATAAAGGAGCTCAATACCTTGAACTTTGTTCTTCTCTTCACAGAGTTTGAGTGTATTGTCTAGACAATGGTAAAGATTCTTGGCTCGTTACAGAGATTTCAAGGTAAAATCAGTAGGAATTGATGATTGGCTTTTGAGCTCTTATTAAGGAAAGAAGAAAGACTTAAATAGAGTTTGGGATTGTACCTTCTGTTTCTGTAGACAACCAGTCATGTGCACAGAACAAAGCCTGTCTGATATCAGGGTTCAAGGAACTCTGGCTTTCAGCGATCATGGGTGTCCCAGAGTTAAATGTTGAATCAGGCGCACAGATTGACATCGGCGTCCCCAAAATGTCACGGGCCATCAAAGAGAGGATAGGGTATCTGGGTGTATGGACTTTCCAGTAATTCAGAATGTTGAACTCGCCACTACGGGGAAAGATCGGTTCAGACAAGTACTTGTCCAGATCCGATGTTGTGTTTAGGTTCTGAGAAGTCTCGTGGAGAAACTTGTCGAATCCTTTCAATCTGTCTCTAGTGTGACCTAAGCTAGAGCCAGAGAAGGAAGAGTCTTCACCGACAATGGCTGAGCACATCGAATATGCATCAAGAAGCTCCTTGACACCATGCGACACTTCCTTGATACGATCCAGAGCAGTACTGCCATAGATCTTAGAGTAGTAATACTCTACCAACTTCATCTTGAATCGCGGATCCAATATCGCAGCGATTGCTAAAACAAGGCTGCATTTGTTCCAGTACTCATCGAATTTAGCCTTCATATTTGCTGCAAGAGAACTCAAGAAATTGTCCTGGTTCTTGCACCACTCGATCAACTGGATGTGGATATCACACATCTCAGCAAAGTATACATTTGCTGTCGGACATTTGTTTCCTGAAAAGTCAGAGGCAATATCGAATACAAGTTTAAGGTAACCGGTAACGTATCTTGTCCATTCCCACTCCTCGTCGGTTAGAGATGAATCAAACCTGTGATCGTGATCACGCAGATGGCAAAACGCACCCTTGTACTCCAGTGCGGTTTCAAGCATCACGAACGTAGAGTTTGAGTTAACAAGAGAATCAAGAACCAAGATCTTCTGGGAGTTGATACCGGCGAGATGAGCGATTTCGTTGAACCTTACTTGTGTTGATTGTGAGCTCTTGACATATCTCACACTTCCTCGAATCTTTTGGATCACATCTCTCATAGCCTCCAAGCAAACTTCGACAAGGGAATTCAGAAGATGAGCGGCAGATTTCAACTCAAATAACTGTCCGTTGATTAAGATCTGGCTGCTCTGAGACATGTGGTCTTTAATTCGTAGGACAACCTCTTCGTTAACAGAACAACTGTCAAACGTAACAGCGAAAAGCTTGCTCTCAAGACTCCA